AAATCGACAACCTAAAATGTTCAACCATCTTTTAGCTGTTCTCAAGCTAATTGACATCCTTGTTCCTCCTGTATATATAGGCAAAATAGCAGAATCAACGTATTGTTTAAACCGGGATGTACTAATGCCATTTACTCCTGATTCTTCCTGTATCCACTGTCTATATTTTAGTGCCACATCTTCATCGTCAATTAATTATTTGTATTTTTGATGTTGGCCACGACTGGAAAACGAAAACGATTCATGATTTAAATAAAAATTACCAAGAAACTGGATCCTTTTAGATTTATATGGGTTTGGATTAACATAAACTATGTTTGCTGCAGCTTGGCTTGCTTTTAACTTTCCATGGCCATCATATAGCCTTATGAAGTATTTATAAATAGCGCATCATTCATTATATTCAAAAGTACTGAATGTCTTTTCACTTTTTAGAAAATTTTCCTGAAGCTAAGCGATTATATCGCCAAATTCAAAATGTGCTTCTTCATTACTATTGTTATCTCCACTATCACCACCATCCTCCCTTTCATTATCACCACCATCCTCACTTTTATTATCACCACTATCCTCACTTTCACTATTACCACTATCCTCACTTTCATCCTCATTATTCAATTTGGTCAAAACTGAATACGCCGGGGGTACTGATCGTAACACCGAATATATTGGTAGTGCAGTTGTTAAAAGCCTAAAAAACCTAGTAATTTTGGGAGTTCCTTTAGTGGCATTGGTAAGTGTACCAGAAGCACTAAACTTACGATAGTAGGTTGATTTGGGAAAACCCTTTATTGTCCTTATTTTAGGGGTTTTTTTCTATGTGAATGGTATTGTAAGTAAATATATTCATGTTCTTTCTTCTTCATCTATCCCTTTATTCTTCTCCTGATCGCAATATTCCTCTGAATTTTGGTTTTCAATATTATCCTCCTCCTCTTCTAACATATCCACTTTCTCCCGTCTTTTCTGGGCGACCTTCTTCCTTTTATTATTATATTCATGAAGTTTAGCATACTTTTTTCTTTTAGGCATATTCCAGTTTTTTTAAGGAATTCTTTTTTTTTTTTTTTTTTTTTCTTTTGAAAGAAAGCAGATTCAATAAAAATTTACAATAATAAAGTGTGGTGAAACTTTAATCCTTATTGATCTTGCAAACTATCGTGTGGGTTAGTAATAGGTTTGTTCCTATAAAGACTTAGGAGATTTGTGCACATTCGGTATACCACATATCTCAACACACACTACCAACAATATTATCACCACTCAAACAATCGTGAGGCATGAGCGACGACGAATCTTCATTAATTGGCTACGGCTTATTTTATTACCAAAAAAGAGAAGAAAAGTAACTTTTATTATTAAGCTTTTACCTCTATATATACTAATTTGTAGTCTATTAGACTCAAATTAGTAACATACTAATATACTATTACAATCTGTATCACAACTTATTATTAATCGTTTTTTGTGAGAATTTTTTTTTGCCATATCTTATTATTCAGCAGAGACAGTGCCGATTCAAAGTGAATCCCTCTCGCCTGTAATCAATCACAGATTAAATTATTTATATTGGATTCAATTGTGATGGATATAATCCTTCACCAGTTTTAATATATGTATAACAGTAACGGTTTCTGCTGTAATCTTATTATCTAATTCCGCATAAACCCGTGATCAATTGTTAGCCAATCAAATGCAAACAGACATTTTATTGGTCGATCATGATCATGTTATCTGTCCCATTTTGTGCTGATCATATGAAAGTACAACTTTTTCAAACGAATATATCTTGATAATTGGTAATTGTATTTCTAAAAAAAAAGGCCACTATTTTGTAATAAACTGGTTTGGCTACAAAATAGTGGCTTTTTTTTTTTGTATTACTTAAGTATAATTTTGGATTATATTTTAAAGATACTCAATTTTAATTCCGTCTTTAGGTGTCCCGCACTATAATTTTTTAAAAATTTATAAATAAAAAACTAAATAGTTATAAATTAAATCTCTTTGTAAAATAATAAAATAAAGCCTAAAGAACAAAGTTACAAAGTTATTTTTTTTAGTTAATTAATATTTAATAAAGTTATAACCTTTTAAAGTTATTAATAAAATAAAAATTTGGCCACTTATATATAAAAACATAATAAAAATTTTAAGAAATATGATAAAATTTTAAAAACATAAAATTTTAAGCTATTAGCCAATCAGAATTTAGTATTTTGTCTCAAATTTGGCCACTTTTAAAAAAGTTGTTGGTTTAAGGATTCCTGCACTGTAGTAAAACTAAAAGAATGATACTTCAATACAACACAAACAACAACTGCTTCGAATGCTATTTTTACATTTATGTTGATAAAACTAACAATACTGCAATATGACACAAAATATTGAAATTCTTTATAAGCGAATCCAATTAGATTAGAATATACTTAATATATAATAGGTATGAATTATAGTGCTTTTAGACTTATAATTCGAATAGCATAACTAATAGATAAATACAATAATTAAATAATAATAAAAAAAGACAACCGAACGACAACTGCTTCGCACATTGATAATTCGATACAAATTATGAAAGATTTAAATCAGGTAAGACTAATAATTTAAATATAGAAATAGCTTAACTAACGATGAATAAATTAAACAAATTCATATGGTGGTAAACATTGTACTTCTATAAATAAATAAATAGCGTAACTAATGATGAATAAATTAAACAAATTCATATGGTGGTAAACATTGTACTTCTATAAATAAATAAATTGTTAATTTTTGATACATATACATAAATGCGTTTATTATTGTATTTTACTAATGCAAAAAAATGTAATAAAATTATTTATTTATTATTATTATTATTAATTAATGCGAATAATGTAATAGAATATTTGTAAAATATTTATTTATATACAATTAATTAATGCAGAGAAATGTAAATAAAATGTTTTTATTTATATGCACCATTAATTCAGCAATAAGATTGGTTAATTTAATTGATCATGCATACATTCATAAAAAAAAAAATTTGAAAATCGCGGCTAAGTTGTTTAAAATAGACGATTTCTTGAATTTCTGATAAAGTTCAATACAAAAACCCAAGCTTGTTAAAAACTTAGAGAAACCTTTATTCACAATTATTTTAATTAATTTATGCTATGACTCAATGAGAAATTCGTTAAAAAATTTATCGTTTTGATGCTATATACTACCAAGAAATAAAAAAAAAAAAACTTCACATAAAAAAGGTTATAAATAAGAATTAATTTATCGTATACTTATATTTTGAGGATATACACACGTAAAGTGGGATAAGAGTAGTATTACTAACCCAAACTCACTAATACAATCTATAAACCCAAACTTACGGCTACAAAACCAAACACATCGCAAAAACTGAATTTATTCTCGGATCTTCTTTTACTATAAGCTTGCATCTCTTCAAATTCAGTAGCATTTTTTTTTCAAAGTAAATGTTGAATCCATCAACGATATCTGCGGTAATGAAAGTTCATTTAAATATAACATCAATAAAAATAGTCTTTAACCTTTATCTATAGTATAATTTTATGATTCAATAAATGGTGGGCGTGTTTTATCTTCTGTTTTTTGAAGTTCGATTTCTTTTTTTTTTTTGTATCGTATATTCCCAAGTGCACAAGTGCAATAGATACATACTTTAAAACGTGTAATAAATTACTCGGGAAATTGATTTGCACTAGCCAATCAGATGAACTTTTTTTACGGGGTTCCGATCTGCAGATCTGGTCGGAAAGGATCGACGTCACGTGTCTGTCACTTTTTTTTTCGCCATGGCTAGGCTAGGGTACTACATAAGAAATCGTGCACTAACAAAAAGTTTTCTTTGAGCAATTTTACTACTAGAACTACTAAATTCTAGCTTCTATATAGTCCCTAACCCGAACATAAATGAACTAAAAATTTTGTCGGTTATCACGTGACAGTGAAATTTTGTTGACTCACCTAGGTAAGATATCGTGCGTATAAGTGTACATTATTGGACAGACGACAAAAAATAACAGTCAATTTTTTTTTTGTCGGAATTAATGTCACTCCATGTGCTGCTTCGCAGCACATGAGTGAAATTAAACTCGAAAAAAAAAATTGACTGTTATTTGTCGTACGTATGTTCAATAATGATGTTATCGGATAGTTAATATGACCATGTGAAGTTTTTTCTGTGATATTTTGCAAAACTGATTACGTAATTTCATGTAAAAAATATCATGGCAAAAAAATTCACATGATCATTTGAAATGTCGGATAACTTCTTTATCAATTCCCACGGATCAATCGTCAAAAAAAAAAATATCCCGTAAAAAATGGATGCGCCTATTTATACTTTTGTTAATGGTGTCCCTACTGATCCTCAAGTTCTGGCAGTCTTTAAAGGTTTGAATAGGGCCCAAAGAGCCAGGTACTATACACTCGATGACAAGGGGAAAAGCGGTGTCTTGTATGCAGTTGCGGAAGAAAAGAAAAAACCGGTATGATTGCTTAGATGGTGTACATTTACCATTGAACTTTTCACTGAGATTTGTTATAAATGTTAGTGGTGGCGTCGCTTAATTGGTTTATTTCGATAGCGAACATTATCTCAATCTTGTTTATGCTGTGATCAATTTATTTTCCGTCATCGGTTTTAATGTCTGGAGCCATTTTCAAAGACGTGACGGTGATCAAGATTTTATTAAATGCTGGAATAATTACAAGCCTGAACAAGATGTTATCCTTTACAATGATGTATTCTCTTTGAAACCCAAATTGTGATCATATTAATAACAGCAATAACAGAAAGATTGTTTAATAAATTTAATAAATTTCAAAACGCATTATTTATCATCATTCCAATAATTACTGGGATAGGGTTGGCGGTAGTGGGAGGTCTAACTTGTACGTTGCCAAATACCGCGATTTCTTTTGTAGGAGTTGGGATATTGTTTGCGGAGAGTGCTATGTATTATTTTAGTGTATACTGTTGATAATAATTATGGTGAGGTTAGATCTTGAAGGATGCCATTGCCTACGTTCACTGTGCACTGTAATCATACACGGATTTATTATGTGTCAATACCTAAATTTATTGTGCGGTTGATTGAAACAACACTCACGTGCCTTGAAAAGGAATCACACGATAGAGCGATGTTCATTCTTGATTATTCAGGGTTATGCATATAGTCGATTACCGTTATTTTTTAATTTTTTCTTGCACTCGCCTTTTCTTAGTTGTAGGCTCATCATCGACTGAAAGCCTATCTTTTAACAATCCCGTAACGATAAATTTTGTTAGATACGCGAGTAGCAAATCGAAAATGTGTGCCAGGTTGTGCTCCGGATGATCATGTGGTTGCCCGGAAATCAAACCAAACGATCCAACA